CCTTCCTTCCTTCCTTCCTTCCTTCCTTCCTATCACCCATTTCTTTCCTGCCCTGTCTCTATTCTACTTTCCTATCTATACCATCTGCCTACCTATCCAATCCTTGGTGCCTTTTCTGACATATTTGACTGTGCTCCCATCCTCCCTATCCGTGACAGGTTTGTGAAAAGAATGGACATGTCTGCAGTATTAGCTGTTGAGTATCCCCACTGCTTTAGTCATTCTGAAAACAGGACTCCAGTCCTCACGGCTTGCAAACCTGCAGATCGATTAAGCTTTTAGTAAATCAAAAGCCCAAAGAGCATATAATGTTGGGTCTCTATGGAACTCTTCCTCTATTCATCTCCTTATTATCAGCTCTGTGGCTTTCTTGACAGTGTCTAGAAGGAAATGAAAAGACTCCACCTGAGACTTTCAAAGTGATCGACAGCTATCCAGAGTTGGCCGCCCAAATGAACGGGAAAATTGTCTTCTACAGCAAACATCACTACCAGCAACTCGGCGTCCACCAGGTTGAGGCAGCAAATAATGAGATCTACAATGTTCTGTATTTAGCCACAGGTAAGCCACAAAGCCATCCATAATGTGCCTACTAGTTGTAGAAGTGGTGCGTGAAAGTTTTGGTAGGAAGGCTCTGTGGCTGTACGAGAGATTCTCTCAACTCAACATAAAGGCATTTGGGGTGTTTGTGTGTGTGTGTCTTCTTCTACAAACAGTATAAAACTTTGGCTCAGCTGCTCTCCCCCTTGTTTTGTAGCCAGACTCCTGAAACCTGCCCTCTTGAACTTAGCAAGTGCTGGGCCCTGTAGCTCTCTCTGGAATACCTCTCTCTTGCTTTGACCCACATAAAGGTTAGATTGCAACAGCCGAGGATGTAGCCATGAACCAGAGTTGGAGAAATGGGTAGTAGGAATTCTTTGACGTTGGCTTTTCATTTGCATTCTCCCTCCAGTAGCCTTCTCGGTGCTGTGATCTTGGAAAAGGGAGATTTGATGTCAGGTTGCACATTGAACAGTCACCTGTCCTGCCAGCTTTGGGTGTGATGGGCTACACCAGGAGTAGGCAACCTTGGCTCTTTTATGACTCGTGGAGTTGAAGTCCACGAGTCATAAAAGAGCCAAGGTTGCCTACCCCTGGGCTATACTGTTGAGTGTTGTTGCTTTCTGTGTGACTGGCCTGCCTGTATCGTGTTTGTGTCACCGTGATGATGTGCTCTCTCTTGCTTATCTGGGGGGTGGTGGTGGTGGTGGTTAAGAATTGTGTGATCAAATGAGAGATTGTGGCCATCTGCTCCACTTTCATCTTTCTTGGAAGCTTCTGGCTATTTCTCGAATGAGAACTCTTATGGAGAATTCTTAGAACCCAAATGTTTGATTGCTGGGATAAGGCCATAATATGGGAATTGGTCAAGGATGGAAGAGCAGGAGGAAAAAGTCCTTTCTAAAGAGTTATATCAGGGGTGTCAAACTGCCGGCCCACGGGCCAGACGCTTTATCCCAAAACCGCGCCCACCCCATTGCCGGCAACGGAGAAAAAGCTCCGATATGTCGCGCGACGTCACATGACGTCGCGAGTTTGACATGCCTGGGTTATAAAGTCAAATGTACTCAAATCTATCAAAGTGGAGAACGTCCCCTTGCCTCTCTGGTCCACTTGAGTCTTGTCATCCATTCTTTTGGATTGACAAAATGTTAATTTTGTTGTTTTCTCAAACTATAAAATACAAAGAGAAAATTCTAGGAAGTAATAGAAAACTAGAAGAAAGGAAAGGGAAAAGGAAAAAAGGCACCAACCTGCAACTCTCTTTAGCACAGGAGAAGATAACCACATGACAGTCGCAACTTTTTACTTTTACACAACAATGTGTGCAAACCCTCTCTACAACAATAAACCTGTCTAATTAGCAAAAGCAAAAGCAACATTTCATTTTTCTTTTTCATTGCAAGCACAAAATCTGGAAGCAGTTTCAAAACAGAAACAGGATTAGATATATTCTCTTTTTTGGACAAAAGAATCAGTTTGACCATCTCTGTTTCTCTTTACTGTGGGGAGTAATATATACCTTTATTGTCTCATGAATCTTTATCCTAATTCATATTAAGGGAATCCTTTATATGATTTCGTGGGGGTTTTTTCCTCACCATTCATGTCCCTGTCTTCATCTTGCTAATCCCTCTTTCTCCTCATCCCACATACAGACAAAGGAAGCATCCATAAGGTGGTCGTCTTGCCAAAAGGACCCATGAATATTCTGGAAATCCAGCCTTTCCAATCCCAGGCGGGCATCCTTGCCATGATTTTAGACCATTCAAGGGTAAGAAAGACTTCACAGCATGGAGACTTAATCACAATGAGTAGTCAGCACATGAGTGTCCAGCTGTTGTTGGACTCTGGTTTCCAGCTTCTTTATCATTGGTCCTTCTGGCCAGGATGTCAAGTTTTGGTTTCATGACCTCGGGATGGCTGCCCATTTTCCACAGCTGGTTGACTATCTCTTGATGGGTCAAGCAAGCTCATTTCAATGGCTCCTTTGTTTTATTGTGCAGAATGAATTAATTGTGGCTTCGGCCAACGAGGTGGTGCAGCTCCCCATGGCCTCTTGTGGGGCATATCAGAACAACTGTGGGAGCTGTGTGCTGTCCAGAGACCCCTACTGCGGATGGATCAACGAGGAATGTACTTCTATTTATGAGCAGGAAAATGGGTAGGTTACATAATTTATATAATTGGTTTGATGGCGACATGGCACGTCTGAGATCACCAGAGCTTCTTAAACCAGACAAGCTTTTCTAAAACATAAGTGCAATGTCACTTTCTCAGTTGGGTGTATACATGCAACTGTGGTCCAATAAGTCAGGTAAAGATCTTATGGCTATATTCCCACATGCTAAGCTTGGTTAGTGTTGACCTTTTTTGAATGGCTTCTCTCTTGCATGAACCTAACCAAGTTGATTGCTACTGAACTAGTTTATTGTACAAACCTAGAAAAGTGGTTAATTTAGCAACCCAGTAAAAATGTGTAAAAATGGGGCCTCCGAATAAGGCAATGAAATTTTCTTCATTGATTATGAATCTTCAGCTATTTTTTTTTTGACCAGCTAAACAAATGTAAACAATCATGTAACTACTGTATATCTTTTATGGAGATGCAACAGGCTGACCCTTTGATGGCCTAATTCAGGGGTAGTCAACCTTGGCTCTTTTATGACTCGTGGACTTCAACTCCCAGAATTCCTGAGCCAGCTTAGCTGGCTCAGGAATTCTGGGAGTTGAAGTCCACGAGTCATAAAAGAGCCAAGGTTGACTACCCCTGGCCTAATTTATGAAGGAATATGATGTTTAACTTGATTTTTCTTTTTCTTTTTAGAACCTTATTGCAGTCTCTAAGCCATGATGTCCCTCGGAACATTTGTCCTACTTCAAACAACTTGACCTCCGAAGGTAATATTCACAAAAAAACCTTGAGTGTACTTAAGAAGAAGGCGGCAGCAGATATTTCCTGCAAAATCTGTGAAAATACATTTTAAAAAGCCCACAAGAAATTAGGAAAAGGAAGTTAGAGGGGGGGTAAATGAGGTTTTGTTAGAAAGAATGGCCCCCGCACAAAGTGTTGAAGTCTCAGTGGATTGCAAGAAAAAAAAAGTTTGTGATTTTAGAATGAACAGAAAGAATAATTAACTGAGCTGCTCTTCTGAAAGTTGATGGAGGCTTATAAAAATCGCCACATTCAGTTTCATTTGTTTGTTCAGTTTGGTAACTGCCTCAAACTTTGGTGAAGTGAAACAAATTAGGAATCACACAACCCTGAAATAATCAGTTAAAAATATACAGAAATGTGAAGGTACACATGTCCAGAATTAGCATCTTCTATAACAGAGGTCCCCAACCTTTTGGGCACCAGGGACCAGTTCCATGGAGAGAGGTTTTTCCATAGACCGGAGGGTGCGTGGTTTTGTGTGCTGCCTGCATCCCATGGATGGGGCTTTGCTTGTTTGTGCAGACCGGTTGCTGGCATGCCACGGACTGGTACTGGTCCACGGACAGGGGGTTGGGGACCCCTGTTCTATAATATGGAGGAAACCACAGAGAAGGCCAGCCATGAACCTTGGACAGGGAAGGGATTCTTAGCCAGTTTTCCCAAGAAGACCAGACCAGACCAATAAACAATTTTAATTTGTTGGGTTTGGCGACAAATATAAAAAGAGGCCCTCTAATGAGGCTGGCTTGACAATAGATGTGGAGCAGACAATCTCTACGCAACCTGAAAAAAAGACTTCATGGGAACTACCACAAGACTCTAGCCTGAGGGCTTTGAAAGATGTTGAGACTCTAGAATAGGGGTGTCAAAACTGGTGGTCGGTGGGCCGGATGTGTCATGCACAGGCCATGCCCACCTCTGGGTCAACACCCCGGGTCAACACCCCAGCTTTGCAAAGGCAAAAAAATGTCACGACACCTCACGATACCTCATGTGACATGATTTTGATACCTGTGCTCTAGAAAGAGTACAGAGAAGAGCAGCAAAGATGAATAGGGGGCTGGAGGTTAAAACATGTGAGGAACGGTTGTAGAAATTGGGTATGGCCAGTCTAGAGAAAAGAAGGACTAGGGGTGACATGATTTATTTATTTATTTATTTATAATTTAATTTATACCCCGCCCTTCTCCTCATGGGACTCAGGGCGGCTAACAGCCTCATAAAAACTACAATACAAATACAATAATTAAAAGCCGAATTAAAAAGAAATATTTAAACAGGCCGATCAATTAAAATTATCCTTAAAAATCCCCTGAAACTTTAAAATCGTTAAAAATTAT